GAGCTACGTGCATGAACTGTGTTCCGATTGACATGCTCCCTACACAGTGTTCTTTGCTCCCTACTCCCTGAGCGGGGAAAATCCGTTTGTTTACTTCACTTTGGAACATTCCTTCACGGATTTGTGCTGCGCACACAGACGAAACTTACTAGAGAAGTGTGACATAATATACCTCTGTAAATAAATACTATTTAATTTTACGTCTCGCACACTTTAATGCCCTTTGTATGGAACATATATGCTCTATTCAAACTGGAATCATGGCGGAATATCCGGTGATGTCCACTTCGCAGGGCACTTACGGTTGAATTGAACAAACATTGCACGTGATAAGAGATACATATGAAATGTGAAATGTGCAAGAAATGGAATTGGGAACCGCTGTAGCCTATTGTAGTCTATTACCTATGTGCGTTCAGGGGGCGTGGCTTTGGACAACGATTGCAGGGAGGGTGGGACATTCGCTTTCAGTGATATCAGGCTAAAGTTAGCATTTTCCGAGATTTCCTACTGCACCTTTAATTATTATGAAAATGCCCAAGATGGCTTGAACACAAATAAACTATATATTGTCGCAATCTAGTGTTTATTGTCTTCATGTTTTATCATTCAGAACATTTTTATCTTCTTTTTATTCAGTTACAGCGATAGCTGGATGCATATATATTAGGAATTTCCTAGAGCGTCATCAGTTTTTTTACATCTGTGAGGAATTTTTGGAGTTTCTGCGCGAGCGCACCCTCCGGCTTCCAGCATGAATGAAACCGATATAACGTGTTTATAGCGCTCAGTAATGCCCATTCCATTCTATTTTGGCTAAAAATAGGAAAAATAATACTTATCTCAAAAGAAATTTGAAGTAGACATATGATAATATATGTTTTTCTCTAGTTTACAGGAGTTTAACACTTTTTTTTTTTTTAATAATGAAAGTGTTATTACAATATTGATATTTATTATTTTGTTTATTTAGCAATAATAATAATAATTTTAATAATTCTTTATTAGTCATATTAATATATAAGCACAACATTTTGGGCCAAATCGTGCAGCCCTAAAAACACACACAACAAACCTGGTGTTTATTATGTATATGGTTTTTGTTTTAAAAATCACATTTTAAATCACAAATCGTGCCAAGCCATCAGAACTGAACCAAACCGAAAACCGTGGTTAAAAACAAGGTATGTATTAAACCGTGGGTGGGCTAACTCTATTGTTGCATCCCTACTGGAAAGTGTCCCATCTCAACACTGATAGTTGGATGGACATAAAGTTTTACCACTCTACGTTCAGGAACCCCCTAAAAATCCCTCATACTTAAAATACCTCATTCTTCGCACTCAACGTCTAAGTCGTTCTATACAAGTGAGCAGTGACATAGTTCTTTGTGATGCTACTGGTTTAGCTCAGTTACTGGTGAAAGAAAATAGTAGAAGGCTAGTAGAAAAACTAGTAAAATAATGTTTTTTAAATAAGCCAATTACATGTGATAAATTAATAAAATAAAAAAAACATACACAAACGATCTAAATAAATACTAAATAAAATTGTATCTATGTCTCAATAAAATGCAATTTATTCATAATGTAGGTTAATCACAAATAAAACTCTTGATTTTCTTGAGCTCTTTTATCATGTTACTGTGTCTTTAAATAAAATGGCAAAAAAATGTGCACTTAAAATGTAAATGTAAATGTACACTCCAGCCGATGTAAGAATAACATCCATTGCTTCAACTTAATAGCACTTTTTTTGACAGTCTCACATTCATTATTATGGGCTGTATAGTATACATGGCAATGGGATGCCTTTCTGTTTCAGGTAAAGTGAGGGAAACATTGTAGTCTGGCATCAGCTTGGTTCTCTCAGAGATGCCTGTAACCAGCAGTGAAAAGAAGCATGCGGCTGCTTTCATGTGTTTCAGACCACCACATTATAGCTATTGTGTCATTGTGTGGCTCTGTGCAGGTATTGCCGTTTGTCAAAGTGGTGAAAAGCAGGATAAAATAAATGAAATATAACATTTCAGTTTTTATGGCAAGCTTTGCATTAGTGCTGCACACAGAGTGAGCTATTCATAGTGAAAGTGATGCTCAGAAACTCACAGCTTCACAGTGTTTCACTGTGAATTAAATGGCAGCAGTACTTAAATATCACAGCTGTTGATCCTATTACAGGAATAGTTTGATGCTGGTATCATTGAAATGAGTACAGAGAATGTAGTTGACTGAGGAACTCAAGACTATTTGCGAAGGTTATTACCTTTGAAGCACTGAGTTCATTGGCGTTTCTGTACTTTTTAGACTGTTTATCTTGGATACAGTGAGCATTTTTAACCTAATTTTCCAGAGATACAGTGAAATTTTTTTTTTTAAATGTCAACTTCATTGATAGTTTAATACAGTGATTTTCAGTCAGGGGGCGGGGTCCACTACGGTGCCTCTGCAAGCTTTCAGGGGGGCCAAATAATCTTAAAAGTATTTAAATTATCATATTTTTTTGGAATAGAAGTTGCTTTATCATTTTTTCATTTCTGTTCTGTTCTGAATACCGTTGTGAGGGGAAATGCAATACATATTTGTAGTGTTTGTAGGCATTTCATTTTATTTACTGATTTTATTATATATATAATATATACTGATATATTTACTGAATGTAATAATAAAATGTCACTTATACACAAATGCGACTTTACCTGTGTTTTTGTTTTTTCTTTCAGCTATGCAATTTTGACCCGGTGTGATTTATTTTCCGGAAAATACGTTAGTCATATTAACATAATTGTATTAATTAAAATGTACACATTAAAATGACATAATTACTAGGATATTATTTATTTTTACTGTCTTGGACAAAACGGGGCTTTAAAGTCAAAAAGGTTGAGAACCACTGGTGTAATGTGACTTTGTTAGGCTATTCCTGAGGTGCTCCGTTGTGCTTGGAAATAAACTGTGCTAGATTTTTCAAGAACATGGGACCGATATGTACCACATATCTTGACAATTAGGCTCCAAAGTCAAGGAAGAGAATTCACCAAGTCAACCTTGCAAAATTACATTATCAGGGAATAGTTAAGATACTTTTCTAGTTGTCTGCCTTGTGATTGAATTGCTGTACAATTTGATTCATGATTCCTCCCTTCCTGAGTGACACGCCAGCCATGTTGCCATGTACATTTCTTTTGTGTGACTTTTGAAATGGCTAGCCAGGCGCATAGCAATTTGTGCGGATCAGCGATCATTTAAATGCACATCACCGTCTCCTCGACAGGACACTGTGCCTTACACACGTGGATGGTGAGATTACCCATCGGTCCTCCCACGCTGTAGCTGGGATAGTTTGATGCTGGGGTGTTTAAGGCAATTACAGAGTAGGTGATTGACTGGGGAAGTCAACATCATTTGCCAACATCACCAAATTCATTACTTTTTCATTGCGCTGTGGACATTGCGATTTTTTCTTAAATCTGTATCTGGAGGAAAATGTCAAGTGTTTGGAGTCTTTTTATGCTCATTTTTCAAGACTGCAAATTCTTCCTCAAATTTTGCTAGTTTGGTTCCAAAATCATATATTCTGGCCTGCCAAAACGGCAATTGAGGTTAGTTACTAGTTTTTTACTAGTCTGAATGCTGTTCTGTGTTCTTGCTGGTGCGATCTGAAAGTGTTCTAAAATTTCACTCTTT